TATTAGCCAGGCATGGGGGCACGTGGCTATCATCCAAGCTGTGTGGGAGGCTGAGGCAGGAGAATTGCTTGAACCTGGTAGGCTGAGGTTGCAGTGAGCTGAGATGGGTGCCTCTGCATTCTAGCCTGGGCAACAGAGCAAGACTTTGTCTCAAAAAAACCAAAAATCAATGAAGTCCTAGATAATCTGAAAAAAATTGTCAAGCACCTTGACCTAATAAACATTTATAGACTACTATACCCAACAACTGTAGAATGTTCATTCTTTTCGAGTGCACATAGTGTGTTCACTAAGGTACACCCAATTCTGGGCCTACAAAGAGTCTTAACAAATTTAAAAGGATTGAAATTGTGCAGAATACGTTCTTTAGTTGCAGTAGAATTGAACTAGAAGTCAATAACAGTAAGATATATAGAAAAGACTTTCATATTTGCAATTTAAACAACCATGGGTCAGAGAAGAAAGCTTGTGGAAATCAGAAAGTTTTTCAAACTAAATGATGATGCAAAATATCAAAATTTGTAGGAAGTAACCACAGCAGGACATAGAGAGCATGAATGTTTATATTAGTAAAGAAAAAAGGATAGAAATCAATGATCTGGGTTTCCATTTGAAAGCTAAAGAAAGAAAAGCAATATAAACCCAGAGGAAGTGTAATAAAGGCAATAATAAGGTGAGGAAATCTATAGAATAGAAAACAGAAAAACCCTGAAAGTAATAAACAAAATTAACATTGACAGCATAGCTATTTGAAAATAATACATTTATAAATAATTAGCAAAACTCTTCAGAGAGAGACAGAACATAAATTACCAAAATCAAAATAAAAGAGAGGATATCACTATGATTGCTAAGGATAATAAGGGAATATTGTGAGCAACTTTATGCCAATATATTTAAGAACTCAGAGACAAATTCCTTGAAAATTTTTACTTGCCAGAAGAGACACATAAAATAATAGAAAATCTGAAAAAACCTTTATCTATTATAGGATTTGAAGTCATTATCAAAAACCTTCAGACACACACATACTCCAAAAGAAAAACAACAAAAATTATCTCCAAGTCCAGATCGTGTTACTGGTGAATGTATCAAACACTGAAGAAAGAAGTAATGCCAATCTTATATGACTCTCAAGAAAACTGAGTTTATTTTATAATGCCAGAATAATGATTATACCCAAACTTAGAAAGATATTACAGAAAAAGACAATGATAAATCAGTATCTCTCATGAATACAGACACAAAAATATGCTTAAGAAAGTATTAGCATGTAAAACCTAGCAATATGTAAAAAAGATAATACATCAGGCCAGGCGCTGTGGCTCACGCCTGTAATCCCAGCACTTTGGGAGGCTGAGGCGGGCAGATCATGAGGTCAGGAGTTTCAGACCAGCCTGAACAACATGGTGAAACCCTATCTCTATTAAAAATACAAAAACTAGCCAGGTATGGTGGTGCATGCCTGCCTGAAGTTCCAGCTACTCTGGAGGCTGAGGCAGGAGAATTGCTTGAACCCTAGGAGATGGAGGTTGCAGTGAGCTGAGATCACCCTGCCACTGCACTCCAGCCTGGGCGACAGAAGGAGACTTGTCTCGCTGCGACGCCTAGGCTGCAGTGCACTGAGGCATTCTCAGCTCATTGCAACCTCTGACTCCTGGATTCAAGCAATTCTCCTGCCTCAGCCTCCTGAGTAGCTGGGATTACAGGAGAGTGCCACCATGTCCACCTAATTTTTGTATTTTTAGTAGAGATGGAGTTTCACCATATTGGCCAGGCTAGTCTCGAACCCCTGACTTCCTGATGTACCCACTTCGGCCTCCCAAACAAAGCCCTGGGATTACAGGTGTGAGCCACTTGCAAGTGAAAGGGTGTTGGGAGGTGGGGCCTTTTTGTTGTTGTTTTTTTTGGAGGTGGAGTCTCATTCAACATGAGTTTTGGAGGAGACATTAAAACCATAGCAGGGATCTATGAGGAAGCTATAACATTGTATTTAATGGTGATTAATTAGATGTGTTCTCTCTAAGATAAGGAATAAGATAAGCATGCCTGCTTTAACTATTTCTATTTAACATTGTACTGGAAATCCTATCCAGAGCAATTCAGCAAGAAAGACGAATAAAAGGTACAAAGATTGGAGGCCAGGAACGGTGGCTCACGCCTATAATCCCAGCACTTTGGGAGGCCACGGTGGGAGGAAAATCTGAGGTTAGGAGTGCCTGACCAACATGGAGAAACCCCGTCTCTACTAAAAATACAAAATTAGCCAGGTGCGGTGGCACATGCCTGTAATCCCAGCTACTTGGGAGGCTGAGGTAGGAGAATCACTTGAACCCAGGAGGCAGAGGTTGCAGTGAGCCGAGATCGCACCACTGCACTTCAGGCAGGGCAAAAAGAATGAAACTCTGTCTCAAATAAATAAATAAGATTGGAATGGAAGAACTGAGACAGTTTTTAGTTACAGTCAATAGGACTGGTTACATAGAAAATCCTAAATAATTATAAAATAACAACTAGAAACATTACATCTATTTAGCAGTTCCATAGGATACAAGGCCAATGCACAAAAATCAATTGTATTTCTGTATAGTTGCAACAAATAGTTTAAAAATAAAAGAAGCTAATTCCATTAGCAATAGTAACAAAAATATTTAGAAATATATTTACAAAAGATATGCAAAACCTGTAAGTGAAAACTTTGCAAAATATTGTCAAGCCTACGTAATGAATATCTAAATAAATAAATAAATTTCATAGATTGGAAGACTCAAAATTGTTAAAATGTCTGTTATTCCCATTGATCTCTACATTCAATGCAGTCCCAATTAAAATCCCAGCAGGCTTTTTTTTATTGAAAAAAAAGTATTCTATATAAAATATATGTGGAAATGCAAACCATTTTGGGGGGGCAAGCAGGGGGAGGACTTGAACTCCCTGATTTCAAGATTGACTATACAGCTCATAATTAGGACAATATAGTAATTAGCATGACATTAGCCAAATAAAGATAAATGGAGCAGAATGGAGTCCAGAAATGAACACACACACACACATATATGGTCAATTTCATTTCAACAAAAGTGATAAGGCTATTGGGTAAGGACAGAAAATCTTTTCAACAAATGGTGTCGGATCACCCGTAAAAATAGGGAGAAAAATGAACATCAGCCAGCGCCCCCTTTCTCTTACCCACTCCTCAGCCCCATGGTCGCACTGGGAGCCCTGCGCAGGCAGGACTGTGACTCGTTTGGCTTTCGGGAGGCTGATTTCCCGCGCCGGGGTCGGCGCAGCGCTCGGTGCGGAGGAACTGCTGGGAGGACCTACCCTACATGGGACCCCAGCCAAGACGCATCCCCTGTCACGCGCCAGGTAGTCTCCCCTGGTTTAAGGGCTTTCAACACTCTTAACAGGTTAGGAAAATCCAGAAGAAAGGCGGAATTGGGTCCCTCGGGCTTGCCTGACACCGGGGACAGTGGAGCTGATGTGACATTTCATTGGCATCGAAACCTGAGACCAACAGCAGGATGAGTCACTCGCCGGGTGTCGACGGAAGACGCCATAGAAGCCTTCAGCGGCCCGGAGTTCACACCCCAAGGTGGTGGCCTCCGTAGCCTTCATTCCGCCACCATCCGCCCACCAAGCGCCTGCTGGACGACAGGAACCCGGCTACCCAGAGGCTGAGGTCGACTCCTGCTAAGAGAAGGCTAATTAATGGAAGGGAGTCGGGAGTGGGGTTTAGAATAAATGCTTGTGGCCGGGCGCAGTGGCTCACGCCTGTAATCTCAGCACTTTGAGAGGCCTAGGAGGGCGGATTACCTGAGGTCGGGAGTTGGAGACCAGCCTGGCCAAAATGGAGAAACCCGTCTCTACTAAAAATACAAAAAATTAGGCGGGCGGGGTGGCGGGCGCCTGTAACCCCTGCTACTCTTAAGGCTGAGGCAGGAGAATCGCTTGGACCCGGGAGTGGTGAGCCGAGATTGCGACATTGCACCCCAGCCTGGGCAACAAGAGCGAAACTCCGTCTCAAAAAACAAACAAACAAACAAATAAATAAATAAAAGAATAAATGCTTGTTGAAGCTCTCATGTGTTGGAGGATGAGATGAATTATGCTCTGGCTAAAATAAAGCCAATATCGCCACTGCCTGGAGGGTCGCTGTATTCGCTTCTGCTCGGGGGTACCATCAGCCAATTAGAAAGACACGATTCCTACGCCTTCTCATCCGATAAAAAGTTGAAGGCTGTTGTTGGCAGTAACCAGAATTAATATGGTGATGAGGAAAATAAGTATTTGAAAAATTGATTGATATTAGGGTCTGAGTTTATATATCATATTAAGCATTCTACAAAAGATCAGGTAACAAATAGTGCTACTGGGATGAATATTGTGGAGAAGTAGTCTACTCTGAAGCTTAGTGAGAGTTTAAGAGTTTGGATTGTCGTGCTGTGTCAGTTTGAGATAATGATTTCTTGGCATGTACATATAAATATTGCTGTAGGGATGATGCTAATGACAAAGGCGCATGCGATGGATATTTTTACGTAATTTGGGTATGAACCTTTTTTGCAGGGGCTGGCTAAGGTAGTAATAATCGGTTAGATTAAGGGGATTAGGGCTATTATAGCAGTAGAAAAATACATGTTTGTTACTTTTATTTGGAGTCCTAAGACCCACGGATGACTCTAATCCTTTAAAAGTTGAGAAAGCCACGTTGTTAGGCATGGGGGCATGAGTTAGCGGTTCTTGCACACTTTCTCGGTAGATAAGAAGTTGCAGGCGTCTGTTACTAGATCCACAATCTAACGTTTTGGTTAAACTATAGCTACAGCATGCAAATCCCATAATACTTTTAGGGTTTAAGGATAATAGGAAGATAGCGCGCTTTGACTAAGTGGCAAAGCGACTCCGAATGCAGCGGCATCCAGGCGGCGGGGTGTGGTCTCGAGGAACAGCAGTGGGGGGCGGGGGGGGTCGGAGGCGGGAGCAAAGAGGAAGGAAGTTCAGGGTTCACCAACAGGAGTCTCGGTGCCCTGAGAAGGGGGCGGGATCAGGTGCCTTGACCCAGAGAATGCCAACTTTGGTCTTATCAGAGCGCACTACTTCTTGGATTGACGCGGTTTGACGCCATCACCACCAGCTGGAGTAAAGCTGGGCGCTTTTCTGGCAGCCACTCCGCATCTCGTTAGCTCAGCGAGTGGTTCAGAGGCAGCCGCGGCCACAAACAGCATAGCGAGTGGCTCCTCCGCGTCGAGGATTGAACAGCGGGGCGGGGGTCGAGGAGCGCTACCTACCCCATGAGACAGCGGGGACCCTGCGCCCAGGCTCCCTCGAGGGCCCGGGCAGGGCGCGCACCAGGACCCAGGCGGGCGCGGGGAGCCAGGCCTGGGCTCCGAGTCTCCCAGACTTTCTTCGTCGTAGTCGTCGTCGTCGGGGTCTTGCTGCGGGTGAGTCCCCACCGCGGTCGTGGCTAGGGAAAAGCGCGCCTGGCACAGGGAGGGGGCAGGGAGGGAGGGGCACGCAGCAGGGTGCCTGGCCTGAGTCACCTGTGGCCGGGCATGTCCGGGCAGCAGGAACCCGTCGTTGAAGTGGGAGGAAGAGCGGGGTCCCTAGGGTCTGGCAGGGGTGACCCGGGCCTGAAAGGAGCAGAGAGCCCCAACCTCCTCCCCCCAGGAGTCTGGGCCGGGGGACTCCACCCTGTCGGCAGCTGACTCTACGGCTCCCTCCTCCCAACGCCTGACGACGTATCGACTTATCGGGAGGTTTCGGAATCGATAGAGCGAGCTCAAGTGTGTAAACTTCCAAGCCATCTCCAAGCCACACTGGCTGCGTGAAGGGGAGCGCAGGGGAGCTGTTTTTCCTCCCCCCAAACCCCCACCGTCACTCTCCCCCTCCCCACCCCCATCCTTCTTTTCTTTTTGTGTGTGTGGGTGGGAGGGTGGGTTTTTTGTTTGTTTGTTTGTTTGTTTGTTTGTTTTTGAGACAGAGTCTCGCTCGATCGTCCAGGCTGGCGCGCAGTGGCGTGATCGCGGCTCACCGCAACCTCCGACTTCCGGATTCAAGCGATTCTCTTGTTTCAGCCTCCTGGGTAGCTGGGACCACAGGCGCCCGCCACCGCGCTCGGCTAATTTTTTGTATTGTTAGTAAAGACAGGGTTTCACCGTGTTAGCCAGGATGATCTCGATCTCCTGACCTCGTGATCCTCCCGCCTCGGCCCCCAAAGTGCTGAGATTACAGGCGTGAGCCACCTTGCCGGGCCCCTCCATCCTTCTTTACTTAGACAAATCGGTTAAACGCGCGCCCGGCAGGAAAAAGTAACTTTCTCTCCGCTGTCTGTAGTCTTCCGTTTCCTTCGAGTCCCCTGAGCACCGCGGCAGCAGTTTCCTTCCAGCCATTTTCTTGCAAATGAACAGGTACAGGGCGGTGAATCAGCTGCCGTGACACAGCGAGGACGGGGCACACCCATCCTTCAGAGGGCAGCTTTTTCTGTGAAAGCAGTCAGTCTGGAAAATGGCAATGCCTTCGGTTCTCTTTCAAGTCGGTTGAGGCTCTGCCAGTTGCTCTCTTCCTGATTACTTCCACATCGAGGAAAAACAAAACAAAAGCTAAATCCCTCAAGGATAAAAACCAGTCTTACAGGTGTCGGGAAATTTTAAGTTTTTTTGTTTAACAAAGTAAACAAGATCCAGGAAACCAGTGGCATTTTGTAATCTGCAAATAATTACAGAATTTATGTTTTAAACATCAGTTTATATGAGGTGGAACCCACGGTTGATGCTTATTTTTAATCAGCTTATTAAATGGCTTTCTTTTTGACAGGCCAGTATGAGTCCAGGTGGATGTAGGGCTCACCTGTGTAGACAAGGTCCAACATCTGAATGTGGTGGTTTTGGAAATGTGACAGTTGGTTTATGTGGCTGTAAAAGAATACTTGAGGCTGTGTAATTTATAAAGAGGTGTATTTGGCACGTGGTTCTGCAGGCTACACAAAAAGCATGGCACCAGCATCTGCTTCTGGTAGGAAGATTCCACTCATGGCCAAGGGGAAGGACAGCTGGATTCTGCCCATCAGGGAAAGGGGGTGGGGAGGATGGTGAGGGGAGGGAAAAGTGATGAGCAGGGGGAGGGGGAGGGGCCAAGTTCATTCTAACAACCGGCTCTCAGGGAACTAAGGGTGACAACTCCTTGGGGTGTATGGGAGAGGGGACTGATATGGTACCAAGTCATTCGTGAGGGATCCACCCCAAACCCCAACAGGACCCACCAGCTACGTTGGGGTTCAGATTTCAGCATGAGACCTTGTAGGACCCATAAGCAGACGCCAAGGCCTTCTGCCATCCCACAGGACCCTCTCATCCTGCCATCCATCAGCTTTCTTCCTGTGCATTTATAGGCACCTTCGGTTTTAAAAATTCTGAGTGAACAACAAATCGCTTTAGGTGTTTTCTGTCAGTACCTGCATGTATGTCATTTTTTTTTAACAGCATCATAATATTTAGTGCATGGATGAAACACATGGGGTGAACCATAGTTGATTTTAATTTTCCATCCTGTGGACAATTGTTAACATGATATCCTGCCTTTGTGCTAATTCCAGCAGGATCGTAGTGAGAACCCTTGTATGTGTCACGTGTCCATATATTCATGTTCACTGGAGTATTGGGCAGCTCCTTAGGAGAGGAATTGTTCGGTCAATGAGGTCATCAATTTAGAATTTTGTTTGGATGTTGCTAAATTGTCCTTCGGGAGAAGTTTGTGTCAATTTTACACTCACACTAAGAGTACCCAAGTGTGCCCGTGTCCCTGCACCCTTACTACACAGAATTTTCATTCTTTCTTAGTCTAAGAGGTAAAAAATGATAGATCCCAATGTTGTATTTTTTATTTCAATGTTATTAAAGATTTTCAAGGATCCAGGAATTTTTTGAGACTGGAAGTAGATGACTTTGAGACTCCAGATAAGACAGCAGTGGAGGGAGCAGGAAAGACTGCAGTCACACCTACGCACCTGGGAAACCGTTGTCAGCTGGGGCCAGTCCCTGCCACTCGCCTTGCCTGTGAATGGAGATAAGGTCTCTGTCCTCAGGCTGTCAGGATAACCTCAGATGAGCCTAGAGATAAGCTCAGTTTCTGACCTCAGGTCCTGGCTCTGTCAATGCTGGGCTGGTCCAATCTCTATGCCATGTCCTTCCACCTCTCCCCTCTCTTTATCCAAGTAGGAAATGAGAAATTGTAAAGGCTCAGGAGCTCAGACATTCAGGCTGTTAAAGAGCCCAGAGATTGGAGGCTGAAGACTACCAGGGTTGGCTGTGCTTTTCTTCAGCTTAGTGACTCTGGTGTGGCCCCAGCTCCTTCTTGTAAAATAGATGGATAAAAGAAAAAGTTCCCAGTGGCCCTATGTAAACCCCAGTGGACTGTGTTGGCAGATTTTTGCTGTCATGTGGGAGGAGAAATCACATCCTCAGCGATAGTGTCAGTCACTTTGAACTGGTTCCCCAGGGCACATGCCCTCCACCCAGCAGAGGCTGCACCCGATCCTACCTGCACCTCGGTATCAGCTCCCTGAGTTTGAGGCAGAAGCTTCTGAAGACTGGGGTGGAGCGCCATGGGGAGGGGCCGTGGAGGAACAGAGGAGCCAGACTTCAAGTGAGGACAGCGATGGCGCTGCAGGGCCACAGCCTGGTTCATCTGTCACACTTCAGTTGTCCTTCTAGTGGGCATGCAGCCAGATTGCAGTTTGAAGGGTGAGCAGGAAATGTCTCCATCTAGGTGGCTGCTCACCCCGCCCCTACTGAGAAGTGACAGTCCCAGTTATGGTCTTCTGTCCTGTATCCAGGAATGGCAGGGCAGTGAGGCTCTAGCTTTTAGCTTCCAGGTCGGGGATGGGGACCATGGGGACAGTGTCATGCCTGAGCCTGTACTGTTGGACAGCTGGTGTCCTCCTCCCAACCAGAGACTGCACATCTTTGTTCAGGGTGTTTTCCTAACCCAGAGAGATAGGGATTGTTGCTCTCATTTTGTATGGAGAGAAAATGAGATTTAGGAGGAGGAAGTCCCCAGCATTTGGGACCTGGACTGCTTGATAATAGCAGGTGCCTGTTGGTCTGTGAAGAGCCTCTCTTGGATTCCCAGGCAGGTATCTGTGATAATAGGGAAAGGAGAAAGTCTACTTCGTAGGGAAGAGCACGGTGTGCTCAGCACCTCAGACACCCACCTGGGGCTGGGAAGAGATATGAATCATCACATTTTACAGAGGAGGGAACCACAGCTCAGAGGGGGAAAGTATGTGCACCGGGCCACAGGCCAGTCTGTCCAGCGCACTGGGAGGAATGAGGGAAACTAGGAATGACCACTTTAAAAAGTTAGATGAAGAGAATTTCAAAGTGAAGGCATTGGAGTTTGCTGGTAATAGGTTTGTATGGCTTAGGTCGTATTAAGTGCATCAAGCCCTTGCCCCATGTCTGCTGTTGGTCTCAGCACTGGGTGGAGGGAGGGGGAACAGTCCTGGTGAAGAGGAGGGAAGAGCCACGCCGCCTGGGGCGGGCCCTCTGCGGCTGCCTCCTCCTGCTGTGCTTTCTCTGGCTTAGGCTGCCCCTCTCACCTGGCTTGTCTGTGGGGAGGAGACCTTTGTTCTCAGGCTGGTTTTTGCTCGACTTGCTGCAGCCTCCACCTCCTGGGTTCAAGCGATTCTTCCAACTCAGCCTCGCGAGTAGCTAGGACCACAGGCATGTGCCACCAAGCCTGGCTATTTTTTTTGCATTTTTAGTAGAGATGGGGTTTCACCATGTTAGCCAGGATGGTCTCAATCTCTTGACCTCGTGATCCGCTCGCCTCAGCCTCCCAAAGTCCTGGGATTACAGGCACGAGCCACCGCGCCCGGCCTCTGACCGCTTTTTTTTTTTTTTTTTTTTTTTTTTTGAGTTGGAGTTTCGCTCTTGTTACCCAGGCTGGAGTGCAATGGCGCAATCTCGGCTCACCGCAACCTCCGCCTCCTGGGTTCAGGCAATTCTCCTGCCTCAGCCTCCTGAGTAGCTGGGATTACAGGCACACGCCACCATGCCCAGCTAATGTTTTGTATTTTTAGTAGAGACGGGGTTTCACCATGTTGACCAGGATGGTCTCGATCTCTTGACCTCGTGATCCACCCGCCTCGGCCTCCCAAAGTGCTGGGATTACAGGCCTGAGCCACCGCGCCCGGCCCTCTGACCGCTTTTAAGACTTTCTCCTTAACAGTGGTTTCAGCACTTTGATTGCAGCAAAAAGAATCCTCAGGAGCCATGCCTCTAGCATTTTAGGCCTCCCCTTCTGAATAATAACAGCCATGTTTTGGCCTCTGCAGGACTAAGTTCCGCTGAGCAGCTGCTTCTGTATATCTCTGCCCTGCCCTTGGCCTCTGGGAGCTCCTGGGGATCCTCAGCAGAGTCACAGGGCTCTTCGGGGGCACCTCTCTGTGCTGCAGCCTGGAGCCTGTGAGCTGAGCAGTGAGCTGAGGCCACCACTGGGCTCGCCCCATGGGCTTGGAGGGAAAGTCATTCACTCAAGAAGTGGATGATGAGCCCTTTACTCTGAGAATGTCTGCACCTGGTGGCGGTGGGACGACAGGTGAGCCCTGTGTGAATCCTGCTCCCTGGAGCCCACAGTCTGGTGAAGGAGGTGTCACCAGGGACCTAAATAATATCAGGCAGCACGGGGTCCCACCTGCCTCACTTCCCCCACCTCCAGAGAGGCTGTGCTGGCTCCAGGGATACCATCTCCCTACTTGACTCTGGCAGAGGGAGGCTGGGAGATACAAGGCCCCAGGTCATGGTATTGTTGGCTTAGAGGATGTGGTTTGATTAAAATCCACATTGAGGGTAATGTCTGTACTAACAACAGCATGTGATGAAATATATTACTTGCACATGCCAAGTCTGTTCTCAGCACTTCATAGACATACGAACACGCGGAATCCTCATACAAACAGACTGTACAGGAGCTCTCATTGCCCTCATTTTAGATGAGCAGCATGAGACGAAGAACATTCGTTCAGTGGAGGGGCTGGGCAGGGGGATGAGCGACCCTCGGGGCAGCAGCAGTGATTGCGTCACTGGGTTGTGCTGGCCTTTCCCAGGGGGTTATTTGGTGCTTGTTCATGAGGCCTGCACTCACCTAGGGCTGGGTCACAGCTGGGGGTCCCTGAGAGGTCACGTAAGGCCACCTCTTATCTCAAGGCTGGCCCAAGACTTTGACAAATGGCTTGCTTCTTAAGCCAGGGGTCTTTTCATACTAAAAGAACAAAGAAACAAAGAAAAAAGCCACAAAAGACTCAGGGGAAGCAGATTTCTGACCACAGGACAACTTTCAGAACAGGTCTGAATTGCTCATTTTAAGATCAACAAGGCATTTTTTAAGGTATGTAGGCTTGACAGAGGAGACTACAGTGTGAATGCCAAACTTGCCTGTAAAACACAATGCAGGGAAACCCTGTGATTAATGACTCAACTCAGGAAGTGGCAGGGTCACGAGAGTCTGTGGAGGAGAAGACCTGGAACAAGACCTGTCTCTCTCGCCCTCTTACACACACACACACACACACACACACACCCTCACACCCCCATGAGCCCAAATCTGTGAACTGAGAACCTCACTTCTCTGACCACACCCTCCATCTCCCTCAATCAGAGACGTCCACAAACTGCAGAGCTGCGTCCCAACCTCACTTCTTGTTACTCCCCTCCCCCACTGCTTTGACTTCCTATCTGCCTGGGAACCTGTCTGTGTGGACTTTTTCCTCTATGTCCACCAGTGTCCCTGCCACCAATGGCATTTGTCACCTCTGCCGGGGCAGCCCCTCATGACTCTTTGCACCTTCATGGACTTTGGGTTATTGATGGCTGTGCCTCATCTCCCTGTGAACTGGAACTGTCCTAAGGAAAGGGAGGGTCGTGCCTTGTTCCTGATACGCCAGGATTCCTTGCAGTGTGGTCACCGGGCACCGACTTGGGTGAATGAGTAACATGGGTTCTAGGAAGCCTGCACTGTGTTTTATGTGAGAGTTGGGAAGAGCAGCTGAACAGAATGCTGAGAACTGCCGAGATCCAGGAGCTCGTTGTCAGGTTTTCATTTGCTATTAGCAGATTTTTTTTTTTTTTTTTTGAGACGGAGTTTCACTCTTGCTACCCAGGCTGGAGTGCAATGGCGCAATCTCGGCTCACCGCAACCTCCGCCTCCTGGGTTCAGGCAATTCTCCTGCCTCGGCCTCCTGAGTAGCTGGGATTACAGGCATACGCCACCATGCCCAGCTGATTTTTTGTATTTTTAGTAGAGACGGGGTTTCACCATGTTGACCAGGATGGTCTCGATCTCTTGACCTCGTGATCCACCCACCTCGGCCTCCCAAAGTGCTGGGATTACAGGCTTGAGCCACCGTGCCCAGCAGCAGATACTTTTTTTAATGCACTATTTTTAGTGTTAAAAGTGAATTCATCAGAAGACATAATAATCATAAATGTGTATATGTGTTTTAGTAGAGCTTTAAAATACATGAAGCAACACTCAAAAGGGCTAAAGGGGGATCATGTCACCCCCTTCTCAACAATTGATTAGAATGATCAGATGAAAACAGTAAAATAAAAGATCTGAACACTGTCAACCACCTTGACTTAACTGACATTTATAGAGCACACATGCAACATCTACAGGAGATTCATTCTTTTCTATGAACATAGTACTTCCACCAAGATAGACCACATTGTGAGCTATAAAACAAATCTAAAAGCATTTAAAATGAAGGAAATTATATAAAATATGTTCTCTGATCTCAATGAAATTAAATTGTTGCAATGACAATATCTAGAAAGACTCCTCATATGTGAATATTAAGCGACATACTTATAAATAATTCATAGTTCATGGGCGAAATCAAAAGAGAACTTAAAATATTTCAAAATAGATGATGATAATTATATAATATGTGGAAATGTGTGGGAAGCCACTAAGCCAGAGCTTAAAGCGACATGCACAGCTCTCACGGCTTCTGTGAAAAGAATTGGGAGTTGGGGAAAACAAGGAGTGACTGCTAATGGGCATGGAGTTTCTTTTTGGGGTGATGAAAATATTCAAAAATTAATTTTACTGCTGGTTATACACTTCTATAAGTATATTTAAAGGAAATAATTATATTATATATATAAAGTATATCTCAGTACAGTGCTTTAGGATTAAAAGAAGAATGGTATCACAATCAATGACTCAGAGGTCTGCATTATTTACCCATAAAATAAGTGTCAATTGGCCAGGCGCAGTGGCTCACACCTGTAATCCCAGCACTTTGGGAGGCCGAGGTGGGCAGATCTTGAGGCCAAGAGATGGAGACCATCCTGGCCAACATGGTGAAACTCCACCTCTACTAAAAAAAAAAAAAAATTAGCCGGGCATCTTGGTGCATGTCTGTAGTCCCAGCTACTCAGAAGGCTGAGCCAGGAGAATTGCTTAAAACCAGAAAATGGAAGTTGAAGTGAGCTGGAATCACACCACTGCACTCCATCCTGGTGATAGACCAAGACTCTGTCTCAAAAAAAAAAAAAAAAAAATTAAAAAAAAAGTGATCATTTAAACTCAAAAGCAGTAACAAGATGACAAGGAAATAGTAAGAGTGAAATCAATGAAACAGAATGCAAACAATAAAAGGAATCAATAAGCTAAGAGTTGGTTCTCAGAAATGGTCAACAAAATTAATAAAAGTAATAAACCAAAGTTCAAAAGAAAAAAAGAACAGCATGAAATACCAATATCAAGAATTAATGGTGGGATATTATCACAAATTCTCCAGCTAGTAAAAGGGTAACAGTGGGATCTCGTGAATAACTTAATGCCAATCAATTTGACAACTTAGATTAAATAGAAAAATTTCTTGAAAAACACTACTCAGCAAAATAGCCACAAGGAGTAAAGCTAATTTAAATATTCCTAAAGTGTCTATGAATTGGAGTTTATTGTTTATTTATTTATTTTAAGATGGAGCCTCGCTCTGTCACCCAGGCTGGAGTGCTGTGGTGTGACCTTGGCTCACTGCAACCTCCGCCTCCCAGGTTCAGGCAATTCTCATGCCTCAGCCTCCCTCCCGAGTAGCTGGGATTACAGACACCCACCACACACACGCCCGACTGATTTTTTGTATTTTTAGTAGAGACGGGATTTCACCCTGTTGGTCAGACTGGTCTCAAACTCCTGTCCTCAGGTGATCTGCCCGCCTCGGCCTCTCAAAGTGCTAGGATTACAGGTGTGAGCCACCAACCCCAGTGGAATTCATTGTTTAAATGCTCACAGTGATGAAAACTGCAGTCCCATGTCATTTCACTGATGAATTATGTAAGCGTTTTTGGAAGGAATAACACCAACAGTAGACAAATTGTTTCAGGACATAAAGAAGGAGGAAAAACTTCTATAATGATGACGTCTACCAATTCTGAAACTCTTCCAAGAAATTGAGTTGGAGGGAACGGAACTCTTTCTCTTTCTATGGGCCCCGCGTTACCCTGATACCATAGAAATGATGAAAGGTGGCCTCCGTGTCTTGTTCCTGACCTTGGAGAAAAAACTTAGTCTTTTACTGTTAAGTAGGATGCTAGCTGTTGGCTTTTCATATGTGGCCTAAATGTAAGATCTACAAGAATTATACAACTCTAGGAAGAAAACAGCATCTTACCTTGGGGTATATATCCAAAAGAACTGAAAGAAGGGGCTCAAAGAGATTTTGTACACCCATGTTCATACCAGCGTTGTTCACAATAGCCAAATTGTGGACACAATCCAAGTGTCCATTGACAGACAGATGAATGGATAAACAAAATATGATACACACACACACACACACACACACACACACACACACACACACACACAATGGAAAGGAAGGAAATTCCAAAGCATGGTACCAAATGGATGGATCATGATACTATGCCAAGTGAAATATGACAGTTACAAGAAACGAGTAAGATACTGTGTGGTTCTGTTTATATGAAGTACATAGAGTAGTCAAATTCATAGAAACAGGCAGTAGAACGGTAGTTGCCAAGGGCTGGGGGGGGGGGGGCAAAGGGACAAATATGAGTACAAACAAATGGTTGAATTTTAGAACTGGGAGAACGATGCAAATTCTGTCTAGTTTTGGAGGCTGGGGAAATGGAATATGAGATTAATCTTGTAAAGGGTGAGATCTGAAAGCCACTCATGCCGGTCCCTGCTTTGCCCCCACAGGCTGTACCTGCCTCAGCTGAAACCATCATAGGTGATGATCAATCACCTGCCTCACAGCAATTGAAACATAGCCCTCTGGGAGACGTGTGTCCACCAGGTACATTCTAAGACTGATCTCTAATCCTTTACACCTTCCTTTTCCTTACCATATACAAAAATTATCTCTGAATTCATCAATAACATTCCTTTTCCATGTTGTTCCAGTTTTCTGTTTCCTGCAGTTTCTGGTTCTTGTATTCAACAGGTACTTACTGATCCTTTGCCAAATCCAAAGTTATGAAGCTTTATCTCCACGTTTTCTCCTAAGAGTTTTGCAGTTTAACTCTTGATGCATTTTCAATTAATTTTTGTAAATGGTGTCAGATAAGAGTCCAACTTCATTCTTTTGCATGTGGCTATCCAGTTGCCATTTGTTGAAATGATGATTTTGTTTTCCAATGGTCTTGGCATCCTTTTCAAAAACCAGTTGACCATAAAAGTATGGGTTTATTTTTGGACTCTCAATTATTTTCCACTGATCTATATCTGTCCTTTTGCCAGTGCCACACTGTCTTATAGTGAGTTTTGACATCAGGAAATATGAATCTTCCTTTTTTGTTTTCCTTTTCCAGAATTATTTTGTTTATACTGGGTCTTTTGCAATTTCATATGAATTTTAGGAGCAGCTTGCCAATTTCTAAAATCAGCTGAGTTTCTCACAGGGATTATGCTGAACCCGTAGCTCGGTGTAGAGGTCACTGGCGTCTTAACAATGAGAAGTCTTTTGATCCAAAGCATGCGTTTACTTTTTTAACATTTTTTTAAATTTAGATCATCTCTATTTTTTAAAATAATGCTTTGTAGTTTGCAGACTATAGATTTTGGGTTGATTTTGTTAAACTTACTCCCAGATATTTAATACTTTTTTATGCTAAAGTGGATAAAACCTTTTCTTCATTTCATTTTAGGATTCATTGTGAGTGTATACAAATATAATTGATTTTTGTACACTGATCTTGTATTCTTTAAACTTGCACAACTTGTTTATTATTCTTAATGCTTTGATCGTGGCTGCTTTAGGGTTTTCCCTATATAGTATCATGTAATTTGCAAATCAAATAAAGTTTTACCTTTCCCTTTCCAATCTGGATGCTTTTTTTTTTTTTTTTTTTTTTTTTTTTTGACGAAGTATGGCTCTGTCGCCAGGCTAGAGTGCACTGCTGTGATCTTGGCTCACTGCAACCTCTGCCTCCTGGGTTCAAGCAATTTCCCTGCCTCAGCCTCCTGAGTAGCTGGGACTGCAGGCACGTACCACCATGCCTGGCTACTTTTTTGTATTTTAGTAGAGATAGGGTTTCACCATGTTGGCCAGGATGGTCTCAATCTATTGACCTTGTGATCTGCCCACTTCAGCCTTCCAAAGTGCTGGGATTAGAGGCATGAGCCACCACACCCAGCCAAGGATGCTTTTAATTTCTTTTACTTACCTAATTGTCCTAGCTAGAGCCTCCAGTACAATATTGAATAAAAGCAGTGACAACAGATATCTTTTTTGGAGAAAATCTTTCAGTTGTTCGCCATTAAATATAATGTTAGCTGTGAGTTTTTGTAGATATTCTTTATTAGGTTGAAGAAGTTCGCTTTTATTTTGTGATTTTTATCATGAAAGAGTGTTGGTTTGAGTAAAATGCTTTCTCTGTTTTTAAGATAATCCTGTGACTTTTGCTTTTTATTCTATTGATATAATTTGTTACATCAGTGTATTTGGGGATGTTGAACAAACCTTGTATTTCTAGGATAAAACTCATTTGGTCCTGATATATAATTCTTTTTATATGCTTTTGGATTCAACTTGCTAGTATTTTGTTGCAGCATCCATATTCATAAGAATTATTAGTCTGTAGTTTTCTTTCTTTGTGAATTTCTTTTCTGGTCTTAATAATAAGGTAATTGTATTAGTCCATTTATACTGGGCTGATAAAGACATACCAAAGCCTGGTAATTTACAAAAGAAAGAGGTTTAATTGGATTTACAGTGCCTTTGGCTGGGGAAGCCTCACAATCATGACAGGAGGCAAGGAGGAGCAAGTCACATCTTACATGGATGGCAGCAAGGAAAGAGCTTGGATGGGAAAACTACCCCTTATAATAATCATCAGATATCTGAGACTTACTTGCTATCATGAGCACAGCATGGGAAAGACGTGCCCCAATGACTCAATTACTTCCCAACAGGTCCCTCCCCCAACATGTGGGAATTCAAGATGAAATTGGGGTGGGGATAAAGCCAAACCATATTATTCTACCCCTGGCCCCTCCCAAATGTCACGTCCTCACATTTTAAGATGAATCATGCCTTCCCAATAGTCAAGTCCCTTCTGCCTACGAGCCTGTAAAATCAAAAGCAAGTTAGTTACTTCCTAGATGCAATGGGGGCGCAGGCATTGGGTAAAAATAGCCATTCCAAATGGGAGACATTGGCCAAAACGAAGGGACTACATGCTCTGTGCAAGTTTGAAATTCAGCAGGACGTCAAATCTTTTTTTTTTTTTTTTTTTTGAGACGGAGTTTCACTCTTGTTACCCAGGCTAGAGTGCAATGGCGCGATCTCGGCTCACCGCAACCTCCGCCTCCTGGGTTCAGGCAATTCTCCTGCCTCAGCCTCCTCAGTAGCTGGGATTACAGGCACGCACCACCATGCCCAGCTACTTTTTTGTATTTTTAGTAGAGACGGGGTTTCACTATGTTGACCAGGATGGTCTCGATCTCTTGACGTCGTGATCCATCCGCCTCGGCCTCCCAAAGTGCTGGGATTACAGGCTTGAGCCACCGCGCCCGGCCAGGACGTCAAATCTTAAAGCTCCAAAATGATCTCTTTTGACTCCATGTCTTACATCCAGGTCACATTGATATAAGAGGTGGGTTCCTATGGTCTTGGGCAGCTCTGTCCCTGTGGCGTTGCAAGGTATTGCCTCCCTCCCTCCTCTTGGCTGCTTTCATGTGCTGGTGCTGAGTGTCTGCAGCTTTTCTAGATGCATGGTTAAACTATTGGTGGTTCTACCATTCTGGGGTCTGAAGGATGATGGCCCTTTTCTCACAGCTCACTAGGCAGCTCCCCAGTAGGACTCCGTATGGGGGCTTTGATGCCACATTTCCCTTCCCTTCATTCTCCATGAGGGCCCTGCCTCTGCAGCAAAGTTTTACCTGGGCATCCAAGTGTTTCCATACCTCTTCCGAAATCTAGGTGGAGGTTCCCTAATCTCAATTCTTGACTTTTGTACACTCACAGATTCAACACCACATGGAGGCTGCCAAGACCTGGGGCTTCCACCCTCTGAAGCAACAGCCCAAGCTGTACCTTGGCCCCTTTCTTTCACAGCTGGAGTAGCCCGGATATGGGACACCAAGTCCCTAGACTGCATACAATGCAGGACCGTGGGTCTGTACTAGGAAACCATTTTCTCCTAGGCCTCCAGGCCTGTGATAGGAGGGGCTGCCATGAAGACCTCTGACATGCTCTAGAGACATTTTCCCCATTGTCTTGGGGATTAACATTCAGCTCCTCATTACTTATGCAAATTTCTGCAGTCAGCTTGAATTTCTCCTGAGCAATGCATAGAGTTATGACGTTACTGAGCAATAGGGATTTTTCTGCTCCATCATAATATTATGGGACCACCATATTATGGGAACCACATAGTGGTTCATTGTTGACCAAAACGTTGTCATGCAGTGCATGACTATAATTTGAGTCTTCTTATTTTTTCCCTGTGTTAATTTTTTACACAAATTCCTGTGCCAATGTATCAATCTATTTAAAGAACTAAATTTTGGGTTTATTAATTTACTCGGTTGTTTTTCTATTCTCTGTCTCATTAATTTCTGCTCTAACCTGTATTGTTTTCTTCCTTCTGCTTGCTTTATCTATAGTTTGCTCTTCTTTTTCCAGTGTCTTAGAATGGATTATTAGGTTATAGATTGAGATATTTCTTCTTCCTAAATAGGCATTTACAGCTATCAATTTCTCTCTAAACTTCAGCTACATTAGCTGTATCCCATAGGTTTGGTATGTTGTGTCTTCATTTTCATTCATCTTATTTTCTGATATCTCTTGATTTCTTCTTGGACCAATTGGTTATTCAGGAGTGTGCTATGGCCAGGCCTGGTGGCTCGCACCTATAATCCTAGCACTTTGAGAGGCTGAGGCAGGTGGATCATCTGAGGTTGGGAGTTTGAGACCAGTCGGACCAACATGGAGAAACCCCGTCTCTACTAAAAATACAAAATTAGCCGGGTGTGGTGGCACATGCTTGTAATCCTAGCAACTTGGGAGGCTGAGGCAGGAGAATCGCTTGAACCTTGGAGACAGAGGTTGCAGTGAGCTAAGATTGCACCATTGCATTCCAGCCTGGGCAACAAGAACGAAACTGCCTCAAAAAAAAAAAAAAAAAAAAAAAAAAAAAAAGGAGTGTGCTGTTTAATTTTTATATGGCTGTGAGGTTCTCCACTTTCTTCCTGCTATAGATTTCTAAATTTATTCCATTGTGGTAGGAATGAATACTTTGGATTATTTCTCTCCTTTTAAGTGTATTGAAGTTTATGATATGGCTGAGCTTATGGTCTATTCTGGAGAATGTTCTATGTGCACTTTAAAAGAATATGTATCTTGTTTTGATTGAGTAGAGCATTTTATAGACGTCTGTCAGTCTAGTTGCTAATGTGTTGTTCAAGTCTACTACTTTCTTGTTGATGTTCTTTCTAGAATTGTTTTGTATGAATTCCTATAGTTTAAGGAAACTATGCTTTTAAATGTGGTTTGTATTTCAATTATTTCCTCCTAGTTTGTTTTTATCTTAGTCATGATTTCTTCCATGCAGTTTTCTTCCTAATTTTTATATAGTTAACTTTATGCAACTTGTTTTTTTTTTTTTTTTGAGACGTAGTTTCACTCTTGTCACCCAGGCTGGAGTACAATGGCGCAATCTCGGCTCACCGCAACCTCCACCTCCCGGGTTCAAGCAATTCCCCTGTCTCAGCCTCCTGAGTAGCTGGGATTACAGGCATGCGCCACCACACCCAGCTACTTTTGTATTTTTAGCAGAGACGAGGCTTCTCCATGTTGGTCAGGCTGGTCTTGAACTGCCGAACTCAGGTGATCCACCCACCTCGGCCTCCCAAAGTGCTGGGATTACAGACATGAGCAACCGTGCCTAGCCCTACTTATGCAACTTTTTAATTTCCTGTGAGATTGAGAAGATCGTTTCCCTCTCCAAACCTGGAAGAAAAATTTCTCATGTAGTACTTGTGTGGTTTCATACTTTACAGTTGACACCTTGATACCCCTAGTCTTGATTTCCTTATAGGGAGAGCATAAGCAAGAAGCTTTATGATTTTTCAGCAGTAAACCTTAGTTGCCCCCACACTATCACTGAATAATCACATTTTTATCATTGGTCGTATCATCAACATAACACATTATCAAGGAAGTTTTTTTTCACAGTTTGGGTTTCTAAGAGTATCTTTTAATATTAATAAATATGAATCAGTGGAGGGGTATAAATAGACAGGCACTGAAAGGGGAGAGTGAGGTCACCTGAAGGGGCAAAGCCCTGGAAGTGAAGGTCGACCCTCCGGACACGGGCTCCTGCTGGCGATGGCTCCTGCAGCTGTCACCTTAGTGCCTGGAGACCCTCTGCAATCCAGGGGAGCATGATGTAGGCCCCCTTTTTTCTTTTCTTTTTCTTTTTTTAGAGACAAAGTCTCACACTGTCACCCAGGCTGAAGTGCAATGGCACGATCTCGGCTCACTGCAACCTCTGCCCCCATGGGTTCACACGATTCTCCTGCCTCAGCCTCCTGAGTAGCTGGGATTACAGACCCCTGCCACCATGCCTGGCTAATTTTTTGTATATTTAGTAGAAACAGGGTTTCACTATGTTGGCCAGAGTGGTCTTGAACTCCTGACCTTGTGATCTGCCCACTTCGGCCTCCCAAAGTGCTGGGATTACAGGCATGAGCTACTATGCTCAGCCGATAGGCCCCCTTCCTATGGATCATTCTTTGACTCTGTACAGGGAGGACCCATTTTTCCTTCCATTTTCCTCCCATGGCAGGTGGCATGGGCTATATCTGAAGCCTTCCCCTCATTGCTGTATTGCTTCTGTGCCTGTTTGTGCCTTCTGCTGACCATGAGCTCACTGAGGACAGGCATTATGACTTTTTTTCTTTTTCTTTTTCTTTTTTTTGAGACGGAGTTTCACTCGTTACCCAGGCTGGAGTGCAATGGCGCAATCTCGGCTCACCGCAACCTTCGCCTCCTGGGTTCAGGCAATTCTCCTGCCTCAGCCTCCTGAGTAGCTGGGATTACAGGCACGCGCCACCATGCCCAGTTAATGTTTTGTATTTTTAGTAGAGACGGGGTTTCACCATGTTGACCAGCATGGTCTCAATCTCTTGACCCCGTGATCCACCCGCCTCGGCCTCCCAAAGTGCTGGGATTACAGGCTTGAGCCACCATGCCCAGCCTTTTTTTCTTTTTTTGAGACAGAGTTTCACTCTTGTTACCCAGGCAGGAGTGCAATGGCGCGATCTTGGCTCACCACAACCTCCGTCTCCTGGGTTCAAGCAATTCTCCTGCCTCAGCCTCCCAAGAAGCTGGGACTACAGGTGTGCATCACCATGCCCGGCTAATTTTTGTATTTTTAGTAGAGATGGGGTTTCACCATGTTGACCAGGATGGTCTTGATCTCTTGACCTCGTGATCCACCCCCCTCGGCCTCCCAACATTATGACTTTTTGTAAGTTTCCAGGGACCCAGGTGGAAGAGACCATTGCCCTGGTCTCTAGGCCCATGTGGCCATTAATCACTTCAAACAGAGCGTCTCTGAATTGAGATGTGCAGTGAGTGAAAAATACACTCTGGGTTTCAAAGACTTAATATTCAAAATAAAAAAAAATAGCTCAACGTTTTATCTTGTTTACATGTTGAAATGCTAATGTTGGCCGGGTGAGGTGGCTCACTCCTGTGGTCCCAGCATCTTGGGAGGCAATGGCAGGTAGATCACCTAAAGTCAGGAGTTCGAGGCCTAGCCTGGCCAACATAGTGAAACCCCGTCTCTACTAAAAATACAAAAATTAGCCAGGTGTGGTCGCACGTGCCTGTAGTCCCAGCTACTCAGGAGGCTGAGGCAGGAGAATCACTTGAACCTGGGAGGTGGAGGTTGTTGTGAGCCGAGATCATACCACTGCACTCCAGCCTGGGCAGCGACAGAGTGAGACTCTGTTAAAAAAAAAAAAAAAAGCTAATGTTTTGGATATTTTAGGTTCAAAAAATACATTGTTAAAATTGATTTGACTTCTTTCTTTTTTTATTTATTTTACTTATTTTTTTAACTTATTTTTTACTTAAGATGGCTCTCACAGAATTTGAATTATGTATGTAGCTTGTATTCTATTTCTGTCAGCTGTGCCAGTCAGATGTGTATAATAGATGCAGAATTGATGACAAGATCAAGCCGAGAAGAGGGGATTTCCCTGTGGCCAAAAGAAGAGTATCCCGGCGACTGCTGCCAGCCTCTGGAATCTCTGCGGCAATTCATTCACTGGCTTTTCTCTCCCCTCCCAGATTCTTATCGATCAGAACACAGTGGAGATTGTAGTGAGTACGTAGCTGGTGGAGGCTACACCAATGACACCAACAACTTGCCTTCTTGCTGCCGCCCATGCAGAGTTTGTAAATCAGGTACGGAATGTGTGGGCCCCTCACCCAGAGGTGAGGGTGGGGCAATGAGGTGGGAGTTATAGCCGATGTGAGTCAGGGAACCAAGTTCCAGCCCAACTTCCTCTTCATCATACCCTGTTCCATGATTGTGAGTTCGGTTGATAAAATAAAACAGAAAGAAATTGTATTCATAATGCATGCCACCTGGTAGTGCAAACTGTCAGCTGCAAGAGGGTGGGGGCATCATTATAGCACAGAGAAGGCCTGGCCGAGTGGACAGGGCTGGGTTTCAGCGGTGGCAAGGGCCTGCTCTGGGGCCAGGCTCTCTACCCGGGCTTTATGCTCCCGGCAGGTGCTCAGCCTCACTCAGCCTTCAGGTTCTCAGGCCCCTATCTCCTCCCCAGCAGGCTGGGTTTTTGGGAAGTCCCGCAAGGGCTCCTCTCCTTGCAGAGTCCCTCAGCTGACCCTGCGCCTTTTTTGCTACTGACCATGTGATCAGAATGGTGTTTTTCCCCTAATCTGATGTAATAAATAATGAATCGTGGTCCTTTTTATTACTCTGAGTATTGGTGACAGCCGAAGGGTGGGTGTCCTGTGTGAGCCCCAAGTGTGCTGGTGCGGAACCAGCCCTCAGAACTCCTTGGTGAACCAAGCTGAGCTGAGCTGAGTGGGAGGGGGTCGGGGTGGTGAGGAAGGGTCGAGGGACACGTCAGGGAAACGCATTCCCAAAGCCTTGTGCTCTGTCATCAGATGAAGTAGAGCGAAGTCCCTGCAACAGGACCAGGAACACAGTGTGTGAGTGCAACCCAGGCACCTTCCGGGAAGCGAATTCCCCCGAGATGTGTCGGAAATGCAGCACACGGTGAGACAGCAGCCAGGGGCTCCCAGCAGCCCCAAGGAACCCCCAGGAACCAGGAACCTCAAGAAGACCTGAGTCTCCTTGTGCCTGTATCTCCCCCGGACCCCATGGTGCCTCCTCTCCCATGGGGCATCCCTGACCATGTGAGGTCTTCTGAGCCTGCAGTGGCCCCTCCTGGTCCATCTGACCGTCCCCACCCCCGCCTTCTGCAGTGGCCCTCTCCTGCCTCTCCAGCACAAGTCCCCTTGGCCAGGCTGACTTGTTCGCTGGTCTCAGGAGGCCGTGACTTAAGAACCCATCAGAGAGGTGCAGGAAATATTTTATCTTGAAATCATAAGAAAATAATGACATAGAATCCAGCCAGGGTTGTATTTATACTTAAACTAATTGAGTCCTAAAATGTAACTTTTAATATTTGCTTTTAATGCAAGAAGACAGAAATGCCCACAGCCCGCTAAAGGCTTAATAAGGCCATGGGTGGAGCTCCCTTAAGTTCCCATGAGGACCTGAGCCAACCCAGCTGGCCTCACCCCTGGTCCCTGATTTCTCAATAAGACCTGTCCTTTTCCTATTTGGGTTTTAAGGGCCAAGAGTAATTTGCTCCCTCCCTGTGTGTACCCAGGTGCCCCAGTGGGATGGTTCCAGTCAGTAAGTGTACGCCAGAGAGTGACATCAGATGTGAATTAAAATCAGGTACAAAGCTCACTGGGGAAGCCCCAGCTGCGGAGGAGACAGTGACCACCGGCCTGGGGACTCCTGTCTTTTCCTGTCTTTTCTCAGGCAATGGAGTTGTGTGGGTGATTTTACCTATATTTGCTGTGATTCTGGTTGTGGCCATACTGATTATCTGGTGGATCCGCTCAGGTAGGTGATGGCTGAGGACAGGGATGCTGGGCACTCTCTGCCCTGCCTCCTCCTGTTCACACAGACAGAATCGCCCACCTCTGCCCCAAGTCCTGGTGTCTCCGTCCTGGCATCTCCGTCCTGGCTCTGTCTTCCTCCTTGTGATCACCCCCATCTCCCCATCCTGTGCACCGCGCAGGACCTTGGTCTTATCAGTCCCTCTCCCAGGGCTGGGGTCTCCTCATCTCCCAGTCAAGTCTGAGAGGGCAGGGCCAGTTTCTCCCATGTTCAGGCCCAGCCAGGAAGGGGACAGTCAGCTCCTCAACTGGGTGACAAGGGTCAGGACGAGATGTGTTCAGGGGATTTATTTAGCTTTGGTCAGAGCAGAACACAGCAGAACACAGAGACTGTCCACATGTTTTTACTCCACTTCTCCTTATACTCCCCGTCCTGAGGGAGTTCCCGAGTTGGCAAGGCCTCATGTGGATCCCAGGCCCGGGGCTCCTTGTCCAGTGTCCTAGCCCCCAGCCCACCCCTGCCCAACACTGCCCTCTAAGGAGGAGTGCTGCATGGGCCCTTCCCTGTCCACTGAGGAAAATCCTTTCTCTTCTAGGTCGTGGAAGAGGCTTCAAGTGCATGGACAGCGTAAGTTGATTTCTCCAGGAGCCAGGGGCATCCGGGGCTCAGGAACTGCCCCCTGCCCACAGTATAGCCCGGGTGGGTGGGTTCCATGTTCTCACGGCTGCCCTGAGTCTCTGAAGTGGCCTGGATGCTGCAGATTGATTTTTGGGGACACAGGCCATTTGGAGCATCACATAGGCTGGCAGGCCATGCTGCGGCCATGTCCCTTCCTGTAGCCTGGGTGGCACCCTCACCCAGCCTATACCCTGGGGATGGGGGTGAGTCCCTGAGCACAGCACCAGGGCCTGACCCCAGCAACAGGTCCTGGATGTACTAAGCCTGGACTTCCTGGGGTGACCTCATTGGGAGGGGGTAGGGGCAGCAGATCCAGCTGTGCCCTGGGGACGCAGTGGGGAGCCCTGGGTGTAGGCTTCTACATTGGCTCTTTGCCTTCCTAAGATCTGTTCCTTCGGCTGGTGTCCTCTACGAGGGCCTGAGGCTAAGGACAATGACCACAACGAGATTCTGAGCAATGCAGACTCACTGTCCACTTTCGCTTCTGAGGAGCCAATGGAAAGCCAGGAGCCGGCAGATTTGACAGATGTCATTGTACAGACCCCCGAGGAGGCACAGTCTCTGCTGGTGAGTGGGGGTCGGGCCTCTTCAAGACCTTATAGGCAGAGAGCGAGGGCCATGCCTCAGTTCTTCTGGCCAAGGGGGACGTGGAACCTGAGGGAGATGGGACTGCAGGGAACGGGGCTGCATGGGAAGAATCAGCCGCCCTCACAAGGGCACAGCCACTCTGCAGGACATCTGCTTGGTAGTCCCTGTCCTGTCCTTGCTGTGTCCTCAGAACCTGGAGCTCCACAGGCATAGAGTGGGGGTCACAGGGTTCATTGATGACTGAATGATGGCTGCACGGTCTCCACTTTGTGCTCCTAACAGAACTCAGGAGCCCTTGCTCATAACAGCAGGGGTTTAAAATTTACTCTGAAATTAGTGTTGCATCAAATAGATTTGAATGTAAATCTCTGTCCAGATTTCTGAATATGGTTGTATGGAGACTTCTAAGAAGAAGTATGATTTCCAAGTCAGCGTGTAGAAGTGTTGCTTACTGTGCACACGCACATACACACACATGCACACACACATGCACGTACACACAGGTACACACATATGCATGCACACACACGCACACAGCCGCCTAGTGTTGGATTGTACCAGTTCATGTATTTTGATCTGACATCATTTTTTTTTTTTTTGTATTTAGGAAAACATTACAAACATTTCTTTTCTTTATTTTTGAGATGGAGTCTCGCTCTGTCACCCAGGCTGGAATGCAGTGGCACAATCTTGGTTCACTGCAACTTCACCTCCTGGGTTCAAGCGATTCTCCTGCCTCAGCTTCCACTGGGACTGCAGGTGCATGCCACCACACCCAGCTAATTTTTTGTATTTTTAGTAGAGATGGGGTTTTACCGTGTTCGCCAGGATGGGCTTGATCTCGTGATCCGCCTGCCAAAATGCTGGGATTACAGACAGGAGCCACTGTGCCTGGTCTTAAATGAACACTTCTTTGTTTTGACAGTTTTTGCATAAAATCGGTGTCTTGTCTACAGAGTCTTTATGAAAAGGCATGCTCTCCTACCTGTGCTGTTTCTCACATTCAGACAATAGATTCCTGATTTCTTGCCCATTTTTGTTCTAATATTTTCCGATGTAGAAGCCTTAATTTTTAACCAGGGGAATCTGTAGATGTATTTACTTCTTCATTGCTCATTACTGTAGAAAGACATTTCCCCAACACAAGACGAACTTCTCTAACTTCTGATGGAGCTATTTTTTCAATGATGTGATTTTTGTGTGTAACTATAAAATCTAAATGGAACTTGTTTTGTGTTTCAATGCAAAGCAAGGCACTTCCTGAATTGTTCTAGTCACTGTCTGGTTTTTCCAACCCCGTTGAGCCACTGATTCTCCTGTTTCCCTCTGCTTTGGGTCCCTCCTTGATCAGAGGTTAAATGCTCATCTCACCATGATCTCCTTCCTTCCCCCAGGCTGTTCCATTCTTGCATTAGTATCCATTTATTCTAACTAAAAATGTAAAAAACAAGCAAACATTAAAAAGGCCAGTCATCTCTCCAGCTTGATTAAGTGCTTTGACATTTTCAAGAGAAGTTTCCTATACTTAAAGTGAGAAAATTTAAACTATCAGCCAGGTGCAGTGGCTCACGCCTGTAATCCCGGCACTTTGGGAGGCCAAGGCGGGCAGATCACCTAAGCTCAGGAGTTCGCAACCAGCCTGGGCAACACAGTGAAACCCCGTCTCTACTAAAATACAAAAAATTAGCCGGGCATGGCATCGTGCGCCTGTTATCCCAGCTACTCCAGAGGCTGAAGCAGGAGAATTGCTTGAACCTGGGAGGCAGAAGTTGCAGTGAGGTGAGATAATGCCATTGCACTCAAGCCTGGGCAACAAGAAAGACTCCACCTAAAAACAAAAACAAAATTTAAACTCTTGAAAGGTACCCAGTGAATAGAGCATCCTCCACTCCTCTGCAGTGCCCTGGGTCTTTTTCCTCAAGTAACTATGAGAAATCATTTCCTGTTAATTCTTTGTCCAAATCATGTATCAGTGTATCTGTATTAAAAAGACATTATATTATACACTGGTGGTCCTCAACCTTTTTGGCACCAGGGACCAGTTTTGTGGAAGACAATTTTTCTTGGAGTCTTGCACTATTGTCCAGGCTGACAGAGGTTCGCCTGGAGTGCAGTGGCACGATCCCATCTCACTGCAACTTCCACCTCCCAGGTTCAAGCAATTCTTCTGCCTCAGCCTCCCAAGTAGCTGGGAGTACAGGCACGCGCCACCATGCCCAGCTAATTGTTCTGTAGTTTTAGTAGAGATGGGATGGGGTTTCACCATGTTGGCCAGGATGGTCTCAATCTGACCTTGTGATTCGCCTGCCTTGGCCTCCCAAAGTGCTGGGATTACAGGTGTGGGCCACTGCACCTGGCCGGAAGACAATTTTTCTATGGACTGGGAGGTGGAGGTGGCTTGGGGATGACTGAAGCACATTGCACTTATCGTGCACTTTATTCTGATTACCTTGTAATATGTAATGAAATAATTATACAATTCATCATACTGTAGAGTCAGTGGGAGCCCTAAGCTTGTTTTTTTTTTTTTTTGTTTTTTTTTTTTTTTTTTTTTTTTCCTGCAA